CTTTGACAAATAATTTATGGGAGAATGTTAATTGTATTGTGCTCAATTTTGTAAGCTAAAAAACTTTGAGAATTTAATAATATAATGCATTAAAGTACAGTATATGTGACACCACACCTTGTAAAACAACCCACTCAGTTTAATCGCTTAAGTACCACCCCATAGCAGATATACTGCTACAGGGCGGCCCCTGTGTGCAAAATCACTTTTTTACCCCTAGTAAAACACTCCCATCACACAGTTAACCCTTTGATTGCTCCTCATGTTCACCCCTTCCTTCCCAGTGCCATTAGTGCAGTGTCAGTGCTTTTTTTAAGCACTGATCACTGTATTAGTGTCACTGGAGATGTCAGTGACACCAAGTCAGTTCCACCCAGTGTCAGAATGCCCACCACAGTCCCGCTATGAGTCGCTGATCGCCACTATAAGTCGCTGATCGCCGCCATTATTAGTATAAAAAATAAATTCCAGTATCTATACCTCCATTTGTAAACGCTTTCACGTAAACTAATTAATTTACACGTATTGGGATTTTTTTTAGCCAAGACATGTAGCAGAATACATTTTGGCCTAAATTTATGATGAAATTTGATTTTAAAATTTTTTTACTGGTCAAATTTAATAGCAGAATGTCCAAAATATTGTTTTTTCTCAAAATTGTCGGTCTTTTTTTTTATAGCACAAAAAATAAAAAAACACACAGGTGATCAAATATCACAGAAAGAAAGCTCAGTTAGTGGAAAAAAAGGATGTAAATTTCATTTGGGTGCAGTGTTGCATGACCGCGCAATTGTCAGTTAAAGTAACGCAGCGGCATAACGCAAACCGCTTCTTTAACCGCTTTCTGACCGCCCTATAGCAGAAATACTGCTACTGGGTAGCACGGGTGTGCAAAATCAGGTATATACACGTGATTTGTGCTGCTGTGGTTTCACGCCCCTCCCAGCATCAGATAGCCCCTCAGTACACCAGTAATCACATTTAACCCATTGATTGCCAGGAACACGCTCATACTCAATAAACCTCCATTGCTAGTATAGTGTATGAACGGATCAAAATCTTTCATCAGATCAGCACTATACCAGCATTCAATTAGTATAGTGTCCCCAAAAACACAGTGTTAGCGGGATCAGCCCCGGCACCTGCAAACACCTGCATTGAGCCCCTACGCTTACCCCCCCCTTTCTCTCCCAGCAAGTGCAGTGTCAGTAGGTCACTGTCACTTGATACATTGCACACAAAACCGCAGTGTTCGCAGAATCAGGCCTGATCTCTGCTAGCACGTGCCGGTAAATTTTGATGACACTCATATGCAGCAGAGTGCCAGTTCTAGTGCCGCTCTACCTTTTGGTTAACTGGCAAGCGCCAGCGGCCTAGTACATCCTGGTCTTTCACATACCAGCAGTGCAGTATCACTTAGTGACATAGCAAGTCCCATAAGTGCAGTACAAGCTGGTGCAGTGGCGAGCACAAGTATTGTCCCACAACTACCATGAATTCACACACAGGCCCGTAGAGCCCCTAGTATCCTTCCAGATGTGTTTGCAAGTCCCGATTGGCAGCCCACAAATTCTGCAGCACCCGTACTTCCCCCATTCACTGCCTAACCCGGAATTCAGGTGGAAACCGCAAATTTAACTACTCCCCTTGATTTTTATGGAGCTGTTTTTCATGGAAGATCTGTGTGCATTGATTGTGGATCAAAGCAATTTATATGTACAACAATTTATTGCTGCCAACCCAAATTCAAACCTTGCCAGACCATTCGCATGGAAACCCATTATGGTGTCTGAAGTTAAATTTTTTGTGGGCCTAACCCTCCAAATGGGCTTTACTAAAAAAAATGAATTGCGGTTGTATTGGTCCACAGACTTGATTCATCATATGCCCGTGTTCTCTGCTGCCATGGCCAGGCATAGATATGAGAGTATAATATGTTTTATGCATTTAACGACAAAACACTTTGTCGTCCTCGGCGTGACCCTGAATTTGACGGTTCCACAAAAGCCCCTCATAAATCACCTTAACCAAAAATTTGCAGATGTCTATACTCCCCAGCAAAACATGTGCGTTGATGAGTCCTTCATTCATTTTTCTGGCCGCCTTGCATTCAAACAATTTCTCCCCAGCAAGCGTGCCAGACATGGGGTCAAGATGTGAGAGGGCAACAGGCTATACATATAAGTTTTGGTTTTGTGAGGGAAAAGATAGTCAAGTGGAGCCCCCCGGATGCCCAGACTACATGTGGAGTAGTGGCACAATAGTTTGGGACTTGGTGTCATCCTTTTTCCATATGGGGGTATCACTTACACGTGGACACTTTTTTTCAAGCGTGCCACTATTTAGACATTTGTACAATCTTGGAATTGGCGCATGTGGCACTGTGCAACCTAATGTGTGCTCATCATTAGAAGTAGGTGGATGTAGTGCGGTATATTCTAATTGTGGGCATACCACACACTTTTTCTGGCAGAAATTTCTTCTCTTTTTTTCATTCAGCCCACAAGCTGCATAAAAAAAAAAACAAAAAAAAAAACAAAAACATAGCATATACCCAACAAGGACCAGTGACATACTGGTACACCACTGGACTTTGAATGGTTATACCAGGATGATGCCTACAGCTGCATCTGACCTCACCGATCTTGGTGAGATTAGATAATGGCCCTGTGCTGGTATGTAAACAGCAGTGGCGCCATGCATATGAGGTATCGCCGTGAATGTCAGATCAAGGGCAGTAATTCTAGCACTAGACCTCCTTTGTAAATCTAAAATGGTAGCTGGTAAAAGCTTTTAAAGTGTTGCCTATGGATATTAAAAATGTATGCAGTTTGTCGCCATTGCACGGGGCATGTGCAGTTTTAAAGCATGTCATGTGTTGGTATCTATTTACTTGGCATACCATCATCTTTCATATCTTACCAAATAATTGGCCAATATATTGTGTTTTTGTGCATTAAAAGTAAAAAAAAGTGTATTTTTTTAAAAAAGATTTGAATTTGCAAAATCTCTGTGTGAGTACTATGTGACATGAAAAATTTCAGCACTCACCATTTTATTCACTAGGGTGTCTGCTTTAAAAAAAATATATAATGTTTGGGGGTTCAAAGTAATTTCCTAGCAAAAAATACAGATTTGTTTCATGTAAACAATAAAGTGTCAGAAAAGGTTTGGTGTTCAGGTGGTTAGAAGAGTGAATGATGTGTGGCATAAGCTTCTAATGCTCGGAATAAAATGCCCCCACCCCCCAAAATTACCCCTTTTTGGAAAGAAGACACCCCAAACTCTTTGCTGAGAGGCATGTTGAGTCAATAGAAGAATTTATTTTTTTAGCACACGTTTTTGGAAAATGACAAAAAAAATTTATTGTTCACACATGCCATGGGTATATGTGGAATTACTTCCCAAAATACATTCTGCTACTTCTCCTGAGTATGGGGATACCACATGAGAGAGACTTTTTGGCAGTCTAGCCAAGTATAGGAACTCAAAATCCAATAAGTACCTTCAGGCTTTTAAAGGGCTTTGTTTCTTCATTACACTTCCTGACTACCTATCTTAGTTTCGGAGGCCCTGAAATGCCAGGAAGCACCAAACCCCTCCCCCCCCCCCCCAAATGGCCCCTTTTGGAAAGTAGACACCCCAAGGAATTTTGATAAGAAGCATGGTGAGTATTTTGCAAATCTCGTTTGTTGCCACAAGTTTTTGGAAAATGAAGAAAGAAAACAAAAACATATTTCATTTTTTTTTTATTTTTCAAAATCTTGTGAGAAAAAATTAGATCTGCAAAATACTCACCAGGCCTCTTTTTAAATTCCTAGGGGTGTCTACATTCCAAAAAGGTGTCATTTGGGGGTGTTTGTACTGTCCTGGTATTTTAGCACCTCAAGAAATGTGATAGGCAGTCAGAAAGTAAAAGCTGTGTAAATTCCATTATCTATACCATAGTTTGTAGATGCTATAACTTTCACACAAAGCAATCAATTTACACTTATTGGGATTTTTTAACCAAAAACATGTAGCAGAATACATTTTGGCATACATTTATGACGAAATTTGAAATTTTTTGGATATTTTTATGACAGAAATGAGAAAATATTGTTTTTTTTTTTTCTAAATTTTCAGGATGATCAAATACTACCGAATGAAAGCTCTGTTTGTGTGGAAAAAAAGGAACGTAAATTTCATTTATGTACCTGTCATGGAGTGCCAGTGCCTCTCCCATCCCCTGCCATATCCCTCCACCCCTCCCTTTCACCTTGCACATTCAGATGTCTGTGTAGTTTCCATGAACAGCGCTGGGCCGGCCATTGCCGAGGCAACCTAGCAGCGTCCCACATGGTTTTAAATAGACTGGCACAGTAAGCAGCCTTCTCTTTTTTTTTTTGTTCCTGTGCACACTGCTGGAATCATCTTGCTCCCTCCGCTGAATGTCCCAGGGTGGGAGTCTCCGCAGCTCTGCATGAGCCCCTCTTCCAAGGTCAGACCAACGGCCATGCTACCCCCGCTGTTGTTCCTGGCCACTGGGAGGGCCCCTGCCTGCTGGTCACTGGGCCCCTGGAGAAGATGGCCGCTGTGAGGGCCCCTGCTGCTGATCGCTGGGCCCCTGGAGAAGCTGGCCGCTGTGAGGGCCCCTGCCTGCTGGTCACTGGGCCCCTGGAGAAGCCAGCTGCTGTGAGGGCCCCTGCCTTCTGATCGCTGGGCCCCTGGAGGAGCCAGCCACCGTGAGGGCCCCAGCTGCTGATCGCTAGGCCCCTGGAGGAGCCAGCTGCTGTGAGGGTCTCTGGAAGCTGCCTGCTGCCAAGCGTTCACAAGTCACCCACCTCCCTGGAAGCCGCCTGCTGCTGAGCGTCTGCAAGTCGCATACCGTGAATGTCCCTGGAAGCCATGAACTGCCCGTGGTGTGCGCACAAACTACCCGTGTCCTGAACTGTCCCTGTTGTGCGCACCGACCTCCCCCGTGTCCTTAACTGTCCCTGTTGTGCGCACAGACTACCCGTGTCCTGAACTGTCCCTGTTGTGCGCACCGACCACCCGTGTTTTGAACTGTCCCTGCTGTGTGCACCGACCACCCGTGTTTTGAACGGTCCCTGCTGTGTGCACAGGCCACCTGTGTTTTGAACTGTCCCTGCTGTGTGCACAGGCCACCCGTGTTCCGAACTGTCCCTGTTGTGTGCACCGACCACCCGTGTTTTGGAACTGCCCCTGCTGCGTGCACCGACCACCCGTGTTCTGAACTGTCCCTGGTGTGCGCACTGACCACCCATGGTTTTGAACTGTCCCTGCTGTGTGCACCGACCACCCATGTTCTGAACTGTCCCTACTGTGCACACCGACCCCCCCTCCCCGTGACCCCGATGTCCCTAGAAAGCTGGGTGGGAGCTGTGCTAGGCCAGACTCCACAGCTAGAGTCCCGTTGAGTCCCCGAGACCCCTGCCCAGGGGGAGATTGCCCGCCTGCTGCCCGAGACCCCTGCCCAGGGTTAGGCTGCCCGCCTGTTGTCTGAGACTCCAATCCGCTGTGCAGTCACGGAGGGAGCTCAGCTGAGGCGGGACCCTCGTGACCAGGCTCTGCCTGGGACCCCCCAAGTCTAGGGGGAAGATCGCCAAAGGAGGGGAAGACTGCACAAGCCACCCTGCCGGAGAAGACCCCCCCCGTGCCTGGAATCGTCTCTAGTTTGCGCACACATCACCCTCCCTGCCATTTCCCCATTGAGTATCTGTCATCTTGTGGTCTCAATAAAGCTTTGTGTGTTCCCAATCTTCTCCGTGTGCTCTGTCCTGCCTACGCGTCCGTTACAGTACCATATTGCATGACCGCACAATTGTCAGTTAACCACTTGAGCTCCAGAGGATTTACCCCCCTTAATGACCAGGCCTCTTTTTGCTACTCGGCACTGCACTAATTCAACTGATAATTGCGCGGTCATGCAATGCTGCACCCAAACGAAATTTACGTCCTTTTTTTCACACAAATAGAGATTTCTTTCGGTGGTATTTGATCATCTGTGCACTTTTTATTTTTCACGCTATAAACAAAAAAAGGCCAAAAATTTTGAAGAAAAACAATATTTTTTACTTTCAGCTATAAAAAATGTATAGTAAACTCAAAGTTGGTTATAAATTTAGGCCAAAATGTATTCTGCTACATGTTTTTGGTAAAAAAAATCCCAATGAGTGTAAATTGATTGCTTTGTGTGGAAGTTATAGCGTCTACAAACTATGGTATAAATACTGCAATTTACGCCATTTTTCTGCTATATACAGCGCTGCGCTAGTTTAACGGACAATTGCGCGGTCATGCAATACGGTACATGAATGAAATTTACATCCTTTTTTCCCCACAAATTGAGCTTTCTTTTGGTGGTATTTGATCGCCTGTGCGGTTTTTATTTTTTCTGCTATAAAAAAAAGGCTGACAATTTTGGAGGAAAAAAATACAATATTTTGGACTTTTTGCTATAAAACATGTCCAGTAAAAAAAAAATGCAAAAATCAAATTTAGTCATAAATTTCTGCCAAAATGCATTCTACGACATGCCTTTGCTAAAAAAAAAAAAAAAAAACAATACGTGTAAAATAATTGGTTTACGTGAAAACTATAGCGTTTACAAATGGCGGGAAAGATACTGGGATTTTTAGGGGTTTTTTTTATATTAATAATGGCGGCGATCAGTGAATTATGGCGGCGATCAGTGACTTATGGCAGCGACCAGCAACTTATGGGACTGCGAAGGACATTCTGACATTGGGGGGTACAGACTTGGGGTCACTGACATCCCCAAAAACACTAATACAGTGATCAGTGCAAAAAGAAAAACACTGACACTGTACTAATGGCACTGGGGAGGAAGGGGTTAACTTTATTTTGCAGGGAAGGGTTATCTGAGTGAAGGGAGTGTTTTACTAGGGGGCGGGGGTGTGTACTGCACAGGACACCGCTGATCGAGAGAGAGAGAAACTCTTCTGTCTCGATCAGCTCATCCTCGAGCTGACAAGGAAGTGACAGACAGCACAGCTACTGCAGCTGTGCTCTCTGTCACTGTTTACTGCCGATCACCGGGAAACAGCCGATGAGGACCGGCTGTGACCCGGCGACTGACATCCACAGCGGTGATCGGCGGAACAGATAGGGCGGCGGCGTGCCTCGCGCCCCCTATTTGTTTACAAAACACACGTTTTAAAACGTGGTTTTGCCTGCCAGTGCCGCCCTGCCGCCGTATTTCTACAGTGGCAGGGCGGCAAGTGGTTAAACTAGTGCAGCGCTGTATAGCAAAAACTGGCGTAAATTGCAGTATCTATACCATAGTTTTTATGCCGTACACAAACAAAATTTACATCCTTTTTTCACACAAATAGAGCTTTCTCGGTGGTATTTGATCACCTGTGCACTTTTATTTTTCAAGCTATAACCAAAACTAAATGAAAATTTTGAAGAAAAACAATATTTTTTTACTGTTCGGCTATAAAAAATATATAGTAAACTAAAAGTTAGTCATACATTTAGGCCAAAATGTATTTTGCTACATGTTTTTGGTAACAAAAATCCCAATAATTTTATATTGATTGCTTTGTGTAAAAGTTATAGCGTCTACAAACTATGCTATAGATACTGCAATTTACGCCATTTTTTTCTATACAGCGCTGTGCTAGTTTAACTGACAATTGCGCAGTCATGCAATACGGTACATAAATGAAATTTATGTCCTTTTTTTTCACACAAATAGAGCTTTCTTTTGGTGGTATTTGGTCACCTGTGCGCTTTTTATTTTTGGCGCTATAAACAGAAAAATTTTGAAGAAAAAAAAATCTTTGAAAAAAACAATATTTTCTCATTTCGGTCATAAAAAAATATCCAAAAAAACTAAAATTGCATCATAAATTTAGGCCAAAATGTATTCTGCTACATGTTTTTGGTTAAAAAATCCCAATAATTTTATATTGATTGCTTTGTGTAAAAGTTATAGCGTCTACAAACTATGATATAGATACTGCAATTTACGCCATTTTTTTTGCTATACAGCGCTGTGCTAGTTTAACTGACAATTGCGCAGTCATGCAATACGGTACATAAATGAAATTTATGTCCTTTTTTTCACACAAATAGAGCTTTCTTCTGGTGGTATTTGGTCACCTGTGCGCTTTTTATTTTTGGCGCTATAAACAGAAAAATTTTGAAGAAAAAAAAAAATCTTTGAAAAAAACAATATTTTCTCATTTCGGTCATAAAAAATATCCAAAAAAACTAAAATTGCATCATAAATTTAGGCCAAAATGTATTCTGCTACATGTTTTTGGTTAAAAAAATCCCAGTAAGTGTATATTTATTGCTTTGTGTGAAAGTTATAGCGTCTACAAACTATGGTATAGATAATAGAATTTACACAGCTATTACTTTCTGACTGCCCATCACATTTCTTGAGGTGCTAAAATACCAGGATAGTACAAACACCCCCAAATGACTTCGGAAAGTAGACACCCTAAGCTATCTGCTGAGAGGCATATTGAGTCCATGGAAGATTTATTTTTTTTCCACAAGCAAGTTTCAGGAAAATGACAAAAACATTTATTTTTATTTTTTTTACACAAACTTGTCATTTAAATGATTTATTTCTCGCACAAGCCATGGGTATATGTGGAATTACACCCCAAAATACATTCTGCTACTTCTACCGAGTATGGGGATACCACGTGTGAGAGACTTCCTTGGGAGCCTAGCCACATACAGGAGTCTGAAATCCAATGACCACTTTGAAAGCCTGAAGGTGCGTAACTTCCTCATTACACTTCCTCACTACCTATCACAGTTTCGAAGGCCCTGAAATGCAAGGATAGCACCAACCCCCCCCCCCCCCCCCCAAATGACCCCTTTCTTGAAAGTAGACACCCCAAGGCATTTAAAAAGAACCATGGTGTGTTTTTTGCAGATCTTATTTTTTCTCACAAGGTTTTGAAATGAAGAAAAAAAAGCAAAAACCATATTTTTTCTATTTTTTTTTTATATTTTCCAAAAGCTTGTGGCAACAAATGAGATCTTCAAAATACTTACCATGCTTCTTATCAAATTCCTTGGGGTGTCTACTTTCCAAAACGGGGTCATTTGGGGGGGGTTAGGTGCTATCCTGGCATTTCAGGGCCTCCGAAACTGTGATAGGTAGTCAGAAAGTATAATGAGGATATAAAGCCCTTTAAAAGCCTGAAGGTGCTTATTGGATTTTGGGGTCCTGTACTTGGCTAGACTGCCAAAACGTCTCTCTCATGTGGTACCCCCATACTCATTAGAAGTAGCAGAATGTATTTTGGGGAGTAATTCCACATATACCAATGGCATGTGTGAGCAATAAATCATTTAAGTGACAATTTTGTGTAAAAAAAAAATATATACCAAAAACTTGTGGTAAAAAAATAACTTCTTCTATTGATTCAACATGCCTCTCAGCAAATAGTTTGGGGTGTCTACTTTCTAAAAAGGGGTCGTTTTGGGGGGTGGGGGCATTCTATGCCCAGCATTAGAAGTTTATGCCACACATCATTCACTCTTCTAACCACCCGAAGACCAAGCCTTTTCTGACACTTTTTGTTCACATGAAAAAAATCATTTTTTTTTGCTAGGAAATTAATATAAACCCCAAACATTATATATTTTTTTAAAGTAGACACCCTAGTGAATAAAATGGTGGCTACTACAATTTTGTATGGCACATAGTACTCGCGCAGTGATTTTTCAAAATCAAATAAAAAAAAAAATACACTTTTTTTACTTTTAATGCATAAAAACACAATATATTGGCCAATTATTTGGTAAAATATAAAAGATAATGGTATGCCGAGTAACTAGAAACCATACATGACATGCTTTAAAACTGTGCATGCCCCGTGCAATGGCGACAAACTACATACATTTTTAATATCCATATGCAACGCTTTAAAAGCTACCATTTTAGATTTACAGAGGAGGTCTAGTGTTAGAATTACTGCCCTTGATCTGACATTCACGGCAATACCTCACATGCATGGTGCAACCACTGTTTCCATACTGGCACAGGGTCAAGGATTGTGCACACAGGTGTGCGTGCATTGGAGGGGCGATCTTTTTTTTTTTTTTTTTTTTTTTTAGTTATTTTGATTTTTTTTATTATTTTTACAGTGTACCTTTCATTTTTTTTTATCACTTTTAATGCTATCACAGGGAATGCAAATATCCCCTATAACTTCAATGGGCATTGTCATATATTGGGATATCTCCTCTGCCCTGGATATCTGATATCTGGATATCTCCTCTGCCCTTACATTATCTAATCAAACCAAAATTGGTGTGATCAGATGCTTTCCCAGTTTACAAATGGCGCTGTTTATAACCTGCGAAACTGAAGTGATGAAATGCTTGTAGCTTCCGAATTCTTAGAAGACTATAGATATGATTGGCACCA